CGACGAAGAAGATGCTAATGTGCCTCATCCGGTGTACGGCATCACTGAACCCGTCAATGTCAAGTTGTACATCCGTCAGGAATAGACAAAGGACAAGGTGGCGCTCGGTCAGGCCAGGCCTGCGGGAGACGGAACCATTAATGGCCGCCCAATTCCACAGGGGTACGCTCACGTCACCATTGACAGAATACTTGATAAGAAGTATAACAAGATATACATTGAGTACACCGCAGCGAAAGATAGGCCGAAACTTGGTCATAACAAGGGCTCTCAAGTGGCCTGACACAAGCGCTTCATTAAGCTTGACCACCAATTGTCCTCTGATGATGAGGACGACTGCGAGTCTTCGCCCACCCGCGATGATCACTCACCATCTCTCAACAGAGATCACTCCCCTCCTCATCCCTTGCCATCACCCCCGAGAAGACAGAGGTCTCCTTCTATTTCTCCTCGTCCGGCTCTATCTTCATCAGCCCCGAGAAAAGAGAAGACTCCTCCTCCTCCTCCTTCTTCATCAGCTCCGGAAAAATAGAATTCTCGTCGTCATCCTCCTCCTCCTCCACCTCAACCCAAAACAAGATCAAAGGCATCCTCGCAGTCGCAGAAAAGATCCTTGGATTCGGTCGCTAACGCTCCCAAAGTGGACCAACAAAAAAAGAAAAAGGTCGTTCAGTGGCAGCGTTACAAACTTGATGTGAGAAAAATTTACAGCACACATCTCGAAGGAAGATTGTGTTAGTTTCTTCAATCTCTGTGCCTCACTGCCTCTGTGTTTGTTGAAGTCTGAATTCGAAAGGCAAACACAGAATTAGTACGCTACAATAAGAGCCGATGAAATACACAATGAAGATTTAAGAAAGATACAGAAGTACGTCGAAGACAACCCCGAATTAACCATGAAAGAGGCCGCAAACATCTATTATAATGTACAAGGGACGGGAACACCGGCAATGAAGTATGAAAGGGGCAATCTTTTGGTTCCCGATGACGAGTATAAAAATTTGACAACATATATGCGTCAGTTGCATAAATATTACATGGCTCAAGTAACAGAGACGGAGGACTTTGGTTTTGAGGTTATTATCCGTTCGTCATATGTTTTTCATTATCCTGAAGAAGAGAAGTTCGATGTCGAGTAGGAGTGTTTGTTCCAGCTATACCAGAAACGCTCTCTCGATTCATAAATGTTGACGATGTGGACTATGTAAGTACCATACACGCACGGTATTATAATTAACTACTCTCTCGAGACATAAATTGTTAACTTTTGACTAATTCCCATGATTTTATGTAGGTGTATAGCAAAATTTTACATACTAAAAACCAAATGGGATAACATAGGTTTCTTGGCCCTCTTGCGAGTCAATGAGAAGACATGTTTAGGCCTCCATGGATGTGACGTGGAAGACTTGAAAGAAAGATTGATTGCTGTTTTCGATAAATTCAAGATGAAGAACAGAACCCACATACTTTTAGCCCACAACTGCGAGTATGTGTTCTCGGCTTTTAATTTTATGCTTCTTTTTTCGTTAAGATTATTCGATAATTAGAATTCTGTGATTGCAGCAACCATTTCGTCTTTATTTGTGTCAATCTTACTAAGGCTCCGTTCGGCTTACCTTATATCTGGGTTGTTCGGCTTCTTTTTTCAATCGGAGCAGTGTTTTTCTCTCACAACTGGAAAACTGGTGTTGAAATCTTATCCGATCCCAGACAACACTAAGTTGCTGCTTGGTTGACACATGTAACACATCCATCACCATCATGCGTCAAACACTTACTGCTGGTGCAGGGAAATTAAGCACAGCTATCACAATGAAGGTATGAACCTCTTATCCCTCCAGAGGACCACAAAAATCCGACCAAAATCCAAGCGCTCAGAGCAAGTTCAGTAGTAACTACAGCAATCAGCTGTAACAGTAAACATCCAAACAATTGTAGCATGAATGAAAACGGCGAGGGGTGGTTAGGTTCACCTCCTCTCGATGGAGAGACGCCACCGACAGAGATGGAGCACAAGCACATCGAATCAAATCTCACTTTGCCTGAAGGCACCAACCAAGATCAGATTCAGACCCGGCATCATGGGGACGCCGCCGAATGCGAATGCGCGTCGACGACCTGTCTGCCGTTCCAGTCCCCAGCTCGTCCGCTTCCGCCCGTCGCGAGGCGCATCGGCGCGCAGGCGACGACGAGGAGATATTTCACGGCTCACGCGCCGCTGCCCGCCTTTCCGCTCGCAATGATCAGGTGCCATGCCGCTGCATGCCCCTCGGTGGTTGCGCGTTGGCGCCATCAGGAGAGGGGACGTACCTGAGGCGTGCGCTGTGCTGTGTCGCAGCAGCTGCCGGCAGCGTCCTCAGGGCATGCCCCCCCCCCCCCGGCTTTTGCACAGCACGGCCATGAGGTAGCCATCGACGGGACGCGGATCGACACGGGCCTCCATGCGTTACAGGGGAAACGATCGTGCATACGGATAAGCAGAGGTTTTATTAATTTTTTTTGGCATACCGCGACGACAAGACAGTGGCAGCGCAGACCGTGGCGCCAGAGAATGACAGCTTACAAGATCACATACACACACACCCCAACAGTTGATTATACATGCAAATAAGCAAGAGAATATTGGGAAGCAGAATGCTATTCATGCTTCACTGGCGACGAAACACAGCAACAAAAAAAGAACTTCCACATTGTCGACGACTATCCATGGATGCTTCTCTCTAGCAATGAATCTGAGTCATAAGGGATCCAATGAAACCTGCGGAATGTAACAGAATATAATCATTCACTCGGATAAAATCGCCTCACAGCAACATAATTCAAATGTTGTTACCCTAATAGTCCATGAAGGCAGCATCTATACGTTAGTGTGCATCTTTGCGTGTTGTTGATCGCAAAATCTTACAAGCATCTTAGAGAAACTGAGTGCAAAACATGAGGCAGGAGAGTGCCACACCACTGCCTATGAACCCTACTGCCTGATACCATGCAAATGTTTAAGAGTTTCAAGGCTACATAATTCTCCTTCACAAGCTAAGCTTCAATTTGTCAGAAGTTTTTGGATACCAAGACTAAATGTTAAGTCACCTAAAATTAGACCTAGGCCATCCAAACAAGGGGACTAAGCACACCCAACTACTACCTCTGTTCCATTTTATCTGGCGTACACGCATATCAAGATTCAAACTTTAAAAACTTTGACCAATAATTAGGCTAATAATTTTTAACTATTATAATATAAACTTTATATGATTAGATTTGTAAGGAATTATACCATCCAATGATTATAAGTTTATAAGGACAAATAATATAATATAAAGCACATAAATGGTCAAAGTGTAATCTAGGAGACCGTGTTATTCTAACTTGCGCCAGATAAAATGGAACGAAGGGGCTAACAACTAGTCCATTAGTTGACCATACCCAACTAATGGGACTGAAGGGAGCCACCAGATTGAGAAATGAGGTCATGCCCTCCCACCTAACCTATCTCCCCCTTTCTCTCTCCTCTCTCGTGGGCATAAGAGTCTGTATCTAGGATCACTACTAGCTACTTAGCCCATGTATCCACAACATAGGACTGAATTTTAGCCAGCTAACTTTTAGTCACCTAAGGGCACCTCTAATGGTCAGCTTTAAGTCAGTATTAGATGCCAAGTGGAGAGGGAAGCCAAAATACTTTGAGCTAGGGAGACGAGAAGAAGAGCTCAGATTTTTGCGCGTCCTAGTGCATGAAACATAACTCCTCTCTCTCTCTCTTAACAGGAGTGAGAATATATGAATAAAGTTCATATATTATTGTAGGTGCCCTAGCAATTAGTTCTAGTAACTAGTAGACTAACAAATGTGTGAACTCATTGTTTTTCTGAAATGAAAATGCAGAACCCATTGTATACAACAGATTGTAGTGATGACATAATGCATAGGAATAGCCTAAACTGTGATGATAATCATGAGAGCGATGCAGCCAACTGATCCAAGGAGAGTTGGCCCACAATATACATAATACAGGGGGAGAATTGGAAACTTGCCATTGTTGGACCGAATCCATCACCTGGCCAGGATGATATCTCAAGGAATGAATGGTCTAGGGACACATTATCAGAACATGATTAGTTGCCTGTCGGCTAGCATTTTCCAGGACATGCTCGTCGTGTTGCAGTTTCAATGCTAGGTGCAGGCAAGGTACAACACCATATATTTATTTCGCTTCTAAGGAACCCCAGCGACATGGCAGAGGGGAATGCCTTCTAGTTAGACCCCATGCTTTCTAGCTGTTCACTATGTGTTCATTTTTGTGTCTCTTTGAACTACAGGCAGTTCCATAATAGGATTAGAGATACAAACATCAAAGAAACTGAATAATTCCTAAGCAATAGAATTTATGTTACGTTGGTCTTTTTCGGATTGCCATCAGTTTTCATGAGATCCAAATGCACATGGAAAAGGGTAATTATTCTGAAATAGATGAAACAGAACGAGTGTTACAACTTTACATGAAAACAAAAGGACATGTCAGATTTTGAATCATAGGGTATGGCGCAACAGCAGTTAACAGACTGAGCTGTGACCTCCTAATAAATGGAGGCAATATGTGATACATTTTTCTTGGGTGATGTGTTATACTTTGGTGCAAGCAGCTGCTAGACTTTCTTGTGAGATCCAAATAAATGGAGGCAGTGTAGAAAATTTTGTTTTCAGACTATCACTTCTTTTTATGGACACCAAGAACACCTTGATATAGCAAATTCTGCACTCTTCATTTCTTTTCTTAAGGGATATGACAAAATTTACATATTCCAGTCCCTCTTAAATGTTGTCGCATAGTGCATGTTCAGTTTATTAAAGTCAGCAACTATTCAACACGTACCTATTTGTACAATCTATTAAGAATCTAGATTTGGTCAACAATATATGTAATTCAAAGGACAGTTGAAAGGACATTCTAGGAAGCAGATTACCAGATAGAGAAGCAATTTTTTCGGCAAGAATAAACATCATGCAGTAAGGGGGCCCTCTGCATTGCTACGCCCATTGAGCTGCTCGGGGTGGATCTTCTTCCCCAACATCTTCCTCATGACCTACTTAGTTTCACAAGACAACCAAAAGCAACAGATGCATTTCAAGTTAGTAGTCGTTCAGCGTCAAGATAGGTTAGATACATCATGCTTGCTTAGCTAGCCATCCATATTTGATCCAGATTAAGAAGCTAAGTGGCATGGAATAAATAACTTGGGCCACTTCTAGGATAGCAAGATATACATAATTACAAGGAGCTATGCAATTCTGCCAGTTTAGGACATATGACACAACTTATTAGCTATAACATATTCTTCTCATGAGCTTCTGTTCTTTCTGGACAACGAGTATGCCTTTAGGTGTGATATGAGGGTTCTTATATCAGATGAGCCTGGGGTACTTAAAATTGCTACAGGGTGTAGATTAAGTTAGCAATCAATCGGAGTAGAAAGATTCTTGTCAATATTTGAAATATGATATTTGCAATGGACATAAGGTGTGGGTGAAGAAAGCAAGCCATACCCGACTTAATTTTCTTGTGGCTTTCAGTGGTTTTGGTGTTGGCTTCCTTGGTTTCTTTTGATGCATCTTGTCCATGCATGATGTATGCTTTGAAGTGGATGCCCCTGCAACATCGATGATATCCTGGCAACTATTCTCCCCTGGAGCACTTGATGAGAATACTTCTGCTGCAAATAAATCAGCAAGTGTAGTTCTTACTTTCTCCACCTCCTCTACCATCAGAAGTGGTCGTTCCTGGATATTAGCAGCTCCCCCATCTTCCACCTCATGTATCAGGATTTCTTCTGTTACAAAGCATGTAAAGTTGCCTTCTTTCATCGACAATGAATGCATCTTAGCAGGCTCAACAATAGGCAATACTGGTTCACATGGCTCTGTTTCCAATGCAATGTCTTCTTTCACCTGATCATTCCTAGGTTCCTTGTCATCTTTCTCTTCCTCAATTACTTTCTCATCACCCATGACGAGGAGATCATCTTCTTCAATGCAAGCCTCAGGACAAAATGAGTCTACGTGATGTCCAAGTGTGCCAATTGCAAGTATACCATTAAGAAGCACATCACGGAGCAGAAGGGCTTCAGTGTCTTTCTCAACCACACTATGAGGCACGGAGTCCTCCTTATCCTCCATGGCTGTTGCATTATTCCAAAAAAAAAGTCGACAAAATAAGAACAAAGAAATGTATATTAGATCACATAAAAGAGAGGCATCCTAGGAACATGCTTACCCTTGTTAGCATGGATGGTGCAGTACTCGGTATTAGGATGCATCCTCCGATTCAGCCAATGAAACACCTGGCAGTGTCATGACTCATGAGAACATGTAGATCATTAACAATATGGGCACTTAATACAAGAATAGCGACTTCAATATCATGGGTCAACAGGATAGAGAGAAACTGCAAAGACAGCACACATCAAATACTGACAGAGGGTGCATCATAAGCAAAACTGAATTACCTTTAGGCCCATGTCTCCAGAACCAATCTGAAATCACAGGTGAGAGGCAGATAGTAGCATTGACGAGCTTCAAAGGCATGGCATGGTTTTATATGAGGAACTAGCCCCATAATTGAATGGTCCAGGAGACAAAAGATGGAGTTTTGGTTGCACTGGCTTGGCCTGACTCAAGTCAAGTAAATTCTTTCACTGAGGTTGATATGTGAATGTGAGATTCCCAGCTACATTCTAGTCAAAGTAAGCAGAGGGCAGAGATTCACTAATCACAGCAGGAGAATGATTTAGAAAGACTCCAGCCGACTCAGTCAGCCACCATAATGTGGTACACTGCATGTGCATGTTGTGGTCCCATTGACATAATGGATCATGCCTACTTGGTGACAGATACCATGCAAACTGCTAACAAACTAAACAAAGAAGTAATCCCAGAATCATGACATGGAATGAGCAGGTCCATCAACCTATCGGGACTAGAAAGAGAATAGTTTTCAACAGCTGACAAATTCCAGATTAAGCAGGTGTCAATAGTCAAGAGTTATATTCAGTTTTAATCCGTTCATCCAATACTTGGCATATGTACAAATATGTTCATTCCAGCTTTCCGAAAAGACGTGCTGCAGCACTGACTCTATCATTTAACAGTAAACTGCACACGCTTTCATCCTCCTCTTATATACGGTTTGATGCAGGAGCCACTTGAAATGGCGACAATGACATAAGCAGCTGCTGCCTGCTGGCAGCAGCCTGTAAGTTAGCACTTGACAACATACTACTGTGCATCTAATGGCACAGACAAGTGCCGACCACAACTGCATGTGAACAAGTAAAGACTGGCAGCAGCACCGGTATGCAAATTGTAGGCTCGTGAAGGCAACAGTTTCCATTAGCAAAGCATCTTCCAAAAATTCACTTCAGGGATCAGCCTCACAACAAAATTACTTTTAGATCTTAACTAACAAGATGAATGTGAAATTAGTTTTCATTAATTCTCTTATCTCTGAATACCTTCCTGCATATAATACAGTTAAAACCAAGCAATGGGGATGAGAAAAATAATACTACGTTGATCATGATTCATGAAATGATCGAAACAATAATAAAAGTGCATATGAGAAGGTAAACCTTGTCCAGGTAATGGTTCATGAGGCACTTTCCCAGCACCAACCTGCCACAACTAAGCATGGAGATGAGACATGTGTCTTCTTCCTGAAGCTAGCAAGATCCTGTAAGCCATGTGCGTCCATCACATCACGATCGATGGATGAAGAATAAGCATCCTAGGTGCATGCTGTCGAGGCTTATAATAGTGAAAATATCTGTTCTGCATCCTTCTGACTACAGAAGTACAGTAGCAACCAATCTGACAACACATGTTTGTTATGCAATGATGTCTCCCAGATCCATCTGGCTTGGCAATTTATGGAAGACCAAAATAGTAATGTTTCAGGTTACACACAGCTCAACTATTTACTGAATAAAGGTACCATAAAATGATTCTTTTACGTGACTACATCAGAATATAGAGAGTAGATCACATGATTTAGTAAATTCTCTATATATAGGATGCAGCTGAATGGAGGATAACTAAGGCTGTGCAGCACTTCATCAAAAACTGCTTTTCATCCCAATGTGAAACGGGCATTCCGAAGCGTTGATCCAAGTTTATGTTTAAATCTTGGATGATTACGAATGATAGAGGTCAAACACAAACAGATGCAATCTACACACAGTCCTTATAAAGGGTATGAAACTAAAGAAGGAAGTGAAATTCATGCTCACAATGAATTCATGAGTTATGTATCCCACAAAAGATCAGCGTAGATAGGTGAAAACCCACCTATGGATTGGGAATAATTATTTGGTGCATGTGATGAAACTTTGAATGTGCAGAGGGAAAAAATCTCTGATGAATCTAAGGTATCATTTGTATTGCATGTTACTCCAGAGCAAGCGATATAATTACTGATCTCATATATTCTTCACGGAAGCTATTATCCTGGTAGGAAACAGACTCAAAAAACTCGCCATAAAGTAGCATGCAGAGCTCCATGGACAAGGTGCCACCACCGCTTGATGAGGGTGACTAACGGGAATAAGAGACCCGACCAATGGGTGGAGTGGGCATGGCTTTGCGTCGCCACCAGCGACCAGTGAAGTTTTGATTCGCTAAATCTGTCCCCAAAACTGCTACTGTCTTCTATCAACACTTGGTTGCTCATCTGAACTTTCTCAACCATCTGACGTCAACATTAGAGCTTCAGCAAAGACGAGGTGAGGATAGATCGTGGTGTCTGCATTCAGTTTCAGGCTTTCAGCGATCCAGCAGGTTAAGATAAAAAAAAAACTGGAAGTCATTGATTATTAGAGATATGTATAGTCTAACACATGTATATAATGTAACTTGTACTCCAAGTTGTATCTTGACTATATATATGAAATCCACCCCTCCCTAATGGGTGTGAGGTGTTCCCCTAATTCTCTACAATGATGAAAGCAAGGGTTGAGCTCATGGAATGCAAGCCTATGAACAGATAAGAACATTCCAAGCTCAAAGTCGGCATGCCTGGATAATATGATAACTTGCAGGATTTTTTTTTTTTTTTTTTTTTTTTGAAACGATGGCAGGAGCTCTGCCTTTCAATTAAGACGAATGAAGTTTATATACAAGCAAAAGGTAGCCAAGCATGGTGCCAAACACCACGAAAGGTTACCCACCCACGCAACGCGACAGAGTACACACTACCATGAGTCATCGTTGCTGAGTATAGTTGCAGAGCAGCTAGCAGCTCCGACTTCCCATGGCAAAACACCGACAACCCATCATAAGATGTCAGACCAACGGGCCTGAAGCAGTAGGCTGCAGCAGGTCATCGTTGCCGAGCTCAACGGCCCCGCGAAGAGCAGCTCCGACTTCCTGCCATGATCCCACGCCCCGCCCGTGGCGATTGCCGAGCCTCTAAAGCTGAAAACCCAACCGTTGGAGAAGGAGGGTTGGACACGCGTCATCGTTGCCGAGCTACATCCCCTGATGCAGCAGCTCCGACTTCGCGATGCAGAACTCGCCGTCTCGCATCAACCGGACGCCGAGAGGCGGAGGGCATCCGCCGAAGGAGACATCACGGCCGAGACGAATTTCCACAGCGACGCCTTCAGGAAGGGTACGACGCCGGATGCGTCGCCGTCGCTTGTCCAGGAAAGGACCGGGTTTTCACCCGTGGAAGACATGGCTGGGGGCACAAGAACACGACGCCTCTAACAAGGAAAAAACGGCGCCATAGGCGGCGCCGCTGCCGCCAAGGCTTTTCGCCCCGAGGTGCCCCTAGCACATACGCCGAGCCAAGATTTGGACCGTAGCTCGCCGCCACCGCGTTGCCATCGCCATCCCGCAGAAGCTTCTCCGAGGGCATCATCGCGCTGCCGGACGCACAGAACAGACAATTGCGTCGGCCGCCGCCACCCCTCCGATCGGGCAACATGCGAATCGGACTTACCATCCGCGCACGCGCGCCACCGCCAGCATGCCGGTTGCCGCCAGCCTACCGCCGCCGCCCAGCACCACCGTCGCCGACGCCGCCGACCTCCGCCACCACCGTCACCGCGATACCCCCCACCACGGGCGCCGCCGCCGCCGGCACCGGATGTGGCCGTGGCGCCAGATCGGTGCCCACCGCCGTCGTATCAGATGTCAGACGGGCCACCGCCATACCACCATGAGACCTTGCGGGGCAAGGACCGCCGCCGAGCAGCTGCCGCGAAAGGCCGTCGGCCGCCCCGCGCAGACGGAGATCGAGCGCGAGGGGACCGGATCCGGCCATTTGGGAACAAAGATCCGCCACCATGGACCGGAGGAGTGGTGGTTGGCCGGCCGGGCCGCCTTTGCCCGGCAAAGAAAGCGGCGTCTTGCAGTGCAAGCGAGTTGTCTCACGCTGGCGCCGCCGCCGGCCGCTTTCAGAGGCGCGCTGTTACCTGCCGTCGCTGGCCGCCGCCGCCATGGACATCGCCCAGCACCTGCCGCCCTCCCCGTCGTAGATCCGGACGAGGGGCGCCGGATCCATGCTGCAGCCGCCGACGAGAGGGACGGCTGCCGGTACTGCACGGAGCTCCTCTGGGAGAGAGAGAGAGAGAGAGAGAGAGGGAGGGAAGAGAGAAGTCCCAGCCGCCGCCTTCCTTGCTCTCGGCCATCTCCGTCGTCGAGCTCCGGCAGCGGCCAGGCGGTGAAGGCGTGGGGAAGGGCTGGCGGCGGAGGAAGGGTCGCCGCCCGAGCCGCCCTCCTGGAGAGCGACGCGGGGGCCGAGCAATGACAAGGTCTTCAGTACAAGAAAGTGAAGAAACAAACAAGGAAGCCACGGAGCTCTAGTCTAATACAGTATGAGAATCTAATACATGGACTCACGCCCGTCTTCCTGTCAGATTATACTGACCTCTCTCAATATCACCTACACAGAGGGCTACAACAGGAACAGGAAAATTCCATCCAGATTCTAAAAAACCCCACAACTGAGGGATACAGAACCAAATAAGCAAGCAGTTCTCTTCCTCTGAAGAAAACATGGTGAGGGATGCTTCAAATGATATGAAGAATATAGTTCAGCTAAAATCGGCCCTATTGATAGAAATAGACCATGCCTATCTGATGACTGTTGCCATGCAAACTGCTAACAGGATCATGGCATGGAATGAGCAGTCCTACAAGAATTAGAGTGAGAATGGTGTTTGACAGCTGTAGAATTTCAGACAAAAGACCCACCATATGCATTAACTGCTTGAGCAGCACCATATGCTTTAATTGCTGGAACGCAATATAACAGACACAGGACAAGCAGCGCTCATCAGTTGCCAAGGCTGTTAAAATATTCCAGCACACACAGTCTATCGAATGGTCAACTCAAGAAGGAAGGGCCATGCTCACATCACGTATGGGACACCGAAAGGGCCTCCATTCCCTAGCATTTCAGACCATGAAAACAATTGTAACAGGACCAGAAAAGACAATCTATCATATACATTTTACTCGACCAAAGGTGCAAATTAGATGCTAACCGGAACTGTCATACAAAGCCCATGTCAAGTTCCGGTGATGTTCAGAACATACATTCTGGAAGAGTTTCAGCAGCAATTTTTTCTCCCAGCTCATGGCCTGGCAACTGACATGTAGTGTGCATGCAAACATAAATAACTGACATGACCCTAGAGTGCCCTGAGCAGGCCGGGCCGGGTTTTCAAAGAGAGAGCATGGTTGCTCCTTCAGTAGTGATCTTGGCAATTTGTTATTTAAGAATGTGCTATAGTAGTCCACTAAATGTATATTGAAATTGAATATCCACAGAGCCAAGATATTTTCATCAAGGCCAGAATTTCATACCTCGAATTTGTTAATAGAAAACCTGCCACGGTACAGAAAGAGCAAGCACAATGAAATGTCACCCACTCACCCAGATCCATCAGCCTTGGTACTTTATGGAAGACCAGAAAAATACTGTATCAGGTTACAACACAGTTCAGCAGCTAGTTGCTTCAAAGCAATTACGATTTGTGAATTGACTGGAAAAGCACTAATAGACAAGCACAGCTGTTATGACCGGCGTCTACTATAATAGGCGCAGGCCCATTAGTGGCTAGAGGAGGACGCCAGCTATAGGGGCTAAGAGCCCATATTATTATTATTAGCTATTTATGGTATTTATTCCTTAATTATAGGATCCTAGAGAGGATAAAGACTCTGTAAACAATTGAGATTGGAATTAAGCGGAAGCAACATAATTGTTGCCGGCTTCCCTTGGGAGCCCTAGCCGCACCTCCTCTTCCTCCTTGCGCTGTGAATACCATGGCGCCAACCCGTCGCCGCTTCCCTAAGCCTCGCCCTCCGCTCTTCTATCCCTACAACCTTCGCAGCAACTTCGGTAGGGCATCTAGTCCTATCAACAGCACAGCAAGCATTAATTAATGTACATGACAGACAAAACATATACTCCCTCCGTATTAAAAAATAAAGTCGTTTTGGACAAGGCTTGGGTCAAACATTAGGAATATAAATCATGAATAACTTTTAAGTTGTTGAGTTTGGAAATGTGAAAGCCATATAAATAGATTTGTCTTGAAAAATACTTTCATAAAAATATACATATATAACTTTTTGATAAATATTTTTATAAAAACAAGGAGTCAAAGTAATACTTTGGAGACCATGTCGCTGTCCAAAACGACTTTATTTTTTAGTATGGATGGAGTACTGAATATAGATATCATGCAATGCTTCTATGTGACCATATCAGAATGCTGACTCACTGAGACAGTAGATGATCACAGGGTGTAGCGAATTCTGTTTACACCAGGATGAGGATTGAATGAACGACAAACCAGGATGTACTGAATTCCATCTAAAATTTATCAAACATGTGGAGCAGGTATTGTAAAGAGGCATTCCAGCATACATCCATCTATGCTAGTCCTCATAAAGAGCAGGACAATCAAGAAGAAAGCGAAATTCATGTTCACAGCAAAGTTATGAGTAGTCTTTGTTGAATAAGATCTTAGGAAAAAGATCAAGTAAAAATATTATTTGGTGGACTTGATGGAACTTTGAGTGCATGGGAGGAACTTTTTTCTTAATGAATCTAAGATATCATTTGTGTTACATATGACCATTTGAACAATCAAGATTGTTATTGATCGTATTCTAGGAAAGGGACTAAAAAATCTCATCTTAAAACAGTAATCCAATGCAACAGCAGCAGGCAGAAATATGAAAATGTTCTCAGCCACACTGACTGCACCATCAAGAGATATTCGGCCTATTCGCTGGTTGGTTTCTGGGCTGATAAGCCCGACTGGTGCTAGTTTGTTGTGAGAGAAAAACACGGTTGGCTGGCTGAATCCAATAAGCGAACAGGCTGATTAAGGTACTCAGATCGAGGGTTCTACCAGATTCCAGCAGAGCAAGGCCTGCAGATAGTTTAGTTCCAGTAAATAAAAGAACATTCTCAGGAATATGAGCTTTAACAAACCATGTTGCCTGGTTTTACCTCAACAAAAGAGAACGCAGCAGGAGCCCCTGGTTTTAGTTGGATATTATCCAGATCTCTTCTAACAACGTACCGGAAGGTGACTCCAAACAAAGCACAACTTATGAAAATAATTGATGACTGAAGGAGTAGTTGTGGCAGATCTTCAGTTTCATAGAAAGATATGGGAAACTAGCCAGGCATTGGCGGAGCCTCTCAGAGAGGCCAAACTGGTGCTGCCGCCCCCCCGTGCCTACTCTCATGTCCTTGATTCGTTCACTAAACTAGGTTATATTATATGGAGAAACTACTAGTATTCTTTATACAAAGCTCGAAAGTAGATTGTTTTGTAGATATATATTGCACAAATACAAAGCATTTGCATCAACAACTTGCAAAAAAAAATATGCATTGGTTTTCCTTAACAATTTAGCCCCCCCCCCTAATTAATCCCCACGCTCCGCCACTGTAGCCAGGGCACCAACTATAGAGGAAACTGCAGCAGCTGTTACGGATTCTATTCTCTCGCTATCTTCATCAACATCACCACTTGACATATCTCCAAAGCTTTCTTCCTCAAGACTAGAAGACAAAGAACGCTGAGCTTCATCAATCATTTCTCTTGCTTGAAGCAATTCCCGCTGGGACTCTGCAATCTTGTTTGTGCAAAGCAGCATTGTAAACATTTATGAAAAAGAAAGAGACTAAACAAAGCATCACGCAACAAATTATTCATGTCTTCCCAGCATGCCAGGAAGAAATTTCGATGATTGCAGAAGTTTATTATCATATAAAATTGACATCGTCTCTTTGATAATTGCACATAGCCAAAGCTACAACAGCGGATTCGCCAAACATCTAAGGGCCACACAGCTTAGTAAGATTGCATCTAGCCGAAACAACATGGTGCCCGTTCTTCGTGTTGGCGTGGGGTCTGTGCTCTGTGCAACAGTGTGGGAGGCTGAACGCGAGTGCATGCAGGACAGGACGGGTCGCTCTACTGTGAGCAACCCACCGGTCATGGGAAACGAGTTACGAGTGCATGCAGTACAGGACAGGTCGCTCACAATGGAAACCATCACGGCATGAGCATCGTTCGCTGAGCAGGCAAAACATCGAACAAGCTGGAGCCAGCAAGCGCGTCGCGGTGGATAACAGCATGTCAGCATACCTCATCGCGCCGCTTCTCGAGGCGGCGGACCTCCTCACGGGCGAGGCGCTCGGCGGTCTCCTGGCGCTCGATGTCGGCGAGCGCGGCGCGCGCGCGCTCAACGCGGCGCTCGGCGTCCTCGACGCCCTCGAGCAGGGCCCGGTTCTCTTCGCGGCGCAGAATTTCGTCCACTTTCTCTCCCACCGCCGAGCTCAGCCAAGACGCCGCGGCACCGGCGCCCTCGCCGCCCCCGCTCCCGTCTCCGGCCTCGCTCCCGCCCTCCCCGGTTGAGGACCTCACGCGAGCACCCCCATGGAAGCAGCAGCGGCGCCGCACAGCAACCTGAGCAAGGGGACCGGCGGGTATATGTACCTATTTTTCAGATTTACCATTACAATTTCCTATGCGCGATGGGTGCTTCTGCTCGTGCTTCAGTGGGCCATGGCCCGAGTGGCTAGCTGGACTACTTCATCTCCTGTTGTTTTTTTTTTCTTGCCAGCCCATCCTATCTCTGGGACGTCATATTTTGAGGCCTCATTTCCTTCCCAGCCAGATCCGCGCCCGAGACTCAAGAGCATCTCCAACAGATGCCCGATATCTCAAAAACTACCATATCAGGGGAGTTGGCTCAAAATTGTTGCTCCAGTTGATCATCTTTCCCATTCCCAACTATTGGTGGCCACCAAAAAATAGCCCAACTCCCCCCAAATAGAAGGGGAGATGCAACTCCCCCGAAAACTCACCCGCATCCTAACTGCTAGATTTCTTTTCCCGTGCACGCTTATATTGCCATTTCGGTGAGCCACCGCTGCCCCTGGCACGTGTGCGGACATAACTCAGAGCTTGCCACCGGTGGAGGAGTCCGTGGAATTTTCTTGCGTCTACCACCATCCGCGGAGCTCGGAGCTAGCCGCCCGAACGCCCGCCACCACCTGATCTGCCTAAGCGCATCACGCCTCCCACGCTCACCGCCTGGCTATTGCGGATTATCGGGATCTGTGGAGGAGGAATGTGGGGTGAGCCCCACGGAGTACCCGGGGGAGAGAGAAGGCGGCAGGCGGCGGGGGAGAGAGAGTGGCGACCGACGGGGGAGAGGGATCGGCGGTTGGGGCGGACGAGAGAGTGGCGGCGAGCGAGCGCGAGAGAAGGAAGCAGCAAGGGAGAGAGATGACCATGTGGGGGAAACATGTGTGGAGAAAGATGACCGCGTGGAGAGAGATAACCTTTTTCTGACAAGTGGGGCTCGATAAATTATTGGCTATCTGCTACAACATTTCCCCCAATAAATTAAAGTGGTATTAGGCTATCTCTATTGTCATGTTATTGGGAAGTTATATTAGGGAGCTGTTGGAGATGCTCTAAGGTCTAGCAAAAAGATAATGTCCACCCCTTGGCCCATCCCATCCCAACCAGTTAACAGTTAGGTGGTGTTTGGATAGCTAGTAGGATAGGAAAATGAAAATTGTATGGGAAATAGAAAGTTGCTGGTTAGCCTGTCTCTAAAAAGGAACTCAAATGGGCATACAAATCTAAAATAGATAGCAAGAGATCTAAAATCAGCCTTTAATAGAGTACCTATACGTAAGACCTATTTTGGGTTGCCTGAAAGACACAACCTAAATATGGGCATCCTCTCTCTTAGAAACACATTTGCAGAAAGAATTCTCTTTTGGATCTTGTTGCTGGAGAATATGCTGAATAGGTATTGAACCTTTTACCTGTAACGCTGCCTAAAAGATAAATGAGTCTTATATTTTAGGTGTTGTTGTTGGAGATAACTTTAGGGATCGAGTGAGAAACATGTAACCCAATCCATTCGGCCTGTTCGTTTAGGTTTGTTTGGCTTATAAGCCGTACTTTTTCAGCCAACAAACGGTATTTTTCTCTCACATCAAATCAGCCGACGATACTTTCAACCATGGCTTATCAGTCAATCTAAGCCCAAACGAATGGAGCGATTATTCGGCAACAGTTGGGATAGAGGTTGGATTTCACGTGGGCCCTGTTAGCTTATATAATATAGCACTCTGCCATTCATTTTCCTTTTCACGTCGACAGGAAGAACATCGAGGTTGCCCGCTGGCCGCCGCACCCGCACGGCCGCACCAGCCCCTTAACCTCACCCATGGTGAAAAATGGAAGGGAAACGCGGGGGGCGGGGGCGGGAGCGGGAGCGGGGAGGGCGGGCAGGCGAATGAACGCGAACCATTCGATTGGGTTGGGTTGCCGCCACTATTTGCCGCTTGCCGCGCGCGCACTTCCCCATCTCCTTCCCTGGTTTCGTTTTCTCCTCCACTTTCCGTCCTTCCCCGCTTCACAAAACCGCAGCCCCCAACCTGCTTGGCCGCTGCTTCCTTCAGACGAGATCTCCAATCCACCGCATCACTTGGATCCCGCAACCTCCACATCCGCCCAACTGAAGAAGGCCACCCCCGCCCAGCACCACCAGCCATGGCGCCGCCGCCGCCCAACCCCAAGCCCGCCACTCCCCCCGACTCTTCCACCAGCAAGAAGAAGGTCACCCCCGCGGAGGTCGCCTTCCTCGTCGACCGCTACCTCGCCGACAACGGCTTCAACGCCGCTCTCGCCGCATTCCGCTCCGACGCCGGGCGCATCTACAGCCCCACCAAGAAGACGCCCAAGAGGCCCCCCATGCCGCTCGCAGACATCCTCAACGACTACATCGAGCTCAAGGGGGCCAGCGTCGCCATCGAATCCGCCATGCGCGCCATGCAATCTCTCGTCTCCACCTACTACGCCTCCTCCTCCTCGTCGTCCACTCCGCCGCCTGTTCCGCCCCACGTCAATATGAATATGAACATGATGATGATGCCTCCCCTTCCCCCGCCTCACGCCGTCACCGGTGCCCAGCCGTCATCGCCGCCGCTCGTCCCGCCGCTCTTCTTCGCGCCCAATTCTTCGTCGCCTCCGTCCCAAGGTATTGCGATTGCCCCCCACCTGTTCGACCTTTGCTTTCTTCTCTTCTGCTTCATGTACTGTATGTACTGCTCTGTGCTCTTCCTCAATTCATTCTCTGCTGCTGCTGCTGCAGGAACCGCCGGACATGCCTCGCCTCTCATTCATCACTACGCTCATGCATCCACCGCGGTTCTCGTCCACAACTCCTCCACAGATCTGTCCACCCCAGTTTCCACCTCTCTGCCCACTAATAAAAAGAGGAAGGCTTCAAAGTCTTCAGGGAAGACCACCGCTTCAGCCTCCAAGAGATCCTGCATTGCTCCTGCTACAACCACCGATGCAAAAGGTACACATCTTTCTTTCACAACTTCTCACTTTCTGTTCTAGCTTCTTCAGACAGCCTTAGATCTTGTTCATTTCATCCCTAAACCATGGGGATTAGTGGGGGACTAGGACTAGAAACACAGGCGCGGCTTTGCCGCGCCCTCCTTGGACCTGTCCATATATATCCATGCTAACCACCGAGACTGGAGAAAGGAACGGAGGTCGATTTGGAGGTATCTTCCTTTCTACAATTGAGAGAAAAATTCATAATTGGTTCAATGAAGATCTAAGGATGGCATACCAAGATAATGCCTAAAATCTATTTTGATTGCTAATACCACGCTTAAAATCGTCAATAAACTGGCCTGAGTCTTCATGAAGGCTTTCGATATGGCTCTGTATCTGTACAGTAATGCTCAAAGTGCTTACAATTAGATGTCCACACAAGCAGATGACACTGAATAAAATGGTGAGATTGTAAAAATTGGACTCTTATTTTTAGGTTGATCCGCATTCACCAAAATCGTTTTATTTCTACATGGGTATAACAGGCTTATGCAACATCTGATCTTATATATATGGTGGCATATCAAACAATATGATCAGTCTCTTTATATTCAAATTTAATTTCATCTTGCTGATCATTTTCTATTAGTTTTCAGTTAGTACTCATATTTGAATTTGTGGAGCACAATGGTTTAACCCTAAAAAAATTGTTTAAATTTGAATGTGCTGTTGGAGCTCATTGGAGAATAAAACAAAACAGGAACTAAGATAAGTACCAAATATGAAATATCAACTACCAAATATGTAATACCCATATCAAAAGCTCCTTAAGCCATTGGATGAAAGGAAACAACAGGAAGGTACCAATACCAGGTCATACGCTTGGCGTGCCATCAAGACTTTCTAAGTGCAGAGACAAGTATTGTCCCAGCTAGCTTCAGTGTCCTTCGTACTCTCTGATTCATCATCATCCTTATTTGACCTGTGATGACGATGGGACTGTTTCTTGGTCTGACTCATAATGCCTTTAACACAAAATCACATAGGCAAACATAATCATTCACATACGATGACACCAAGAAACGAACAGGGCTTTAAGCAGTTTGTATCTGTGTCATTGACAATTGATGATGAAGCATTACTACCTGTGTTTCTCTGTTAATTCTCCGTTGCACATTTGTTAATCCTAAAAAAAAAAACTGGACCTGCGAGGATATGACCACCCCCAGGCATTGCATTAAGAAGAAGATCTTCTCACGCAGGCCCAGAAACCCCCCGAACCCCTGCCCCACCCTTACACAGCGGCACCGTCGCCCTGTGAGAACGGGCCGGTCCTTAGACCTGTGCTTTGGCATGGGATAGACGAGGGGATTTTTTTAACCCCAGCCTAAAATTTGCTCCCATGGGGAGTCGAACCCAGGACCTGAGGAGTGCCGCCGGGACGCTCTAACCCGTTGGACTAGAGGCCCTTTGGCACATTTGTTAATCCTAACAATGTTTCCTTCACAGTTTCTTAAAAAATTGGGAATTCCTCTAGCACTGCATATATTTATCTATTTGAGAAAAAAAGCATTGCATTCTGCAGATATGTTTGTGCTAACATTCTAACTTCCTAATGCCAGGTAGAGCTGTACCTGTAGCCTCTCATCTGTCGAAGGATCAGAAGATGGCTTCTGCTGCCCGACCAACTTCTGCTCAACATCCAGCTATGGCAAAGCTTCCACTCCAAACTTCATCTGTTGCAAAGAGCTTATTCAGGCCACTTCCACCTCTAGCCCACTCTTCTCCATATACGCCGCAACAAAGCAATCCTGTACAAGATCAGCCTGCTGCTTATCCATCTGCAACTCCAGTGTCTGCCGTTGCAAATGCTCATGCCCAACAGGACATTGGCTCCTCCCAATGCTCTATAGTTTCTTCCAAGACTCTCATTGTCAGTCCTCTCAAAGGGAGCGCGTACTATGCTGTTGAGAGGAGTTACCATGTCAGCTCCCCCTTGAAATCAACCATCCGCAGCTCCCCCTTGAAACCAACCACCCGCAGCTCCCCCTTGAAACCAACCACCCGCAAGTTGGACTTCGATTGTACCGAGCCAGGTCCCAGTGATCAGATTTGTGACAAGATCTCTACCTCCTCTGACGAAGACAAGCAATATGACTTTGATATCGATTTCACAAATTTTGATATATGTGATGGTGAATTTTCGTTTTCTGAGCTCCTGCTTGACTTTGATCTTGACAACGAAGGTGTTCTGAACACTTCCACAAGTGCTGAAGTTCAAAGGTATAGCATACCTGTTTTCTTTCTGTCAGTTGTCTTTCGATTTTTAGTGTTTGCAAAACTATGCATGCTAAGATGTGTTCCTTGTGCATGTTGAACAAATGCAGACTAGAGCCTGTTGCTACTAGTGGTCATATGGCAGCAGATCCTGTTCTACCTGATTCAGTGAAGCCAGTGGCAGCAGATTCCGCTGAAGATTTGAATCCACAAGGTTTTGACCTTTCTCTAATAAGATCAGCCTATAGCAATTGGCTGTTTCCTTTGTTTGCCCTCGTATTCCTATCATCATTTTTTGCTATACTGACTAATCCCTTTCTCAAGCAGGAGCAACCTCTGTTACTTCTGTCAGGGCTATTACAAAGAGGATAAAGATTGTTAGCCCTGGTATGTATTCATATGATCTGTGCTTCTCCAGTTCTCCTGCTTCTAAGCATCTGTTGCGATTGATTGTTAATTATGTATCGGTTGTTTCATTGCAGTCAAGGGCCGGGCAGCTTCTTAGAGCAGCAGGTAGAATTTCAGATCATAAAATCAGGTGCAACAGCATGTGACTAACCGACATTCCCTAGATGGTCTGATAATCCATGACAGTAGTTGTGAGTGACCAACTGCCCTGCACTGTGGGCATTTTCAGCACCAAAAGAACTAAGTGGTGCATCTGCTTACTGTAGCATGCTAGTAATGTTATGTTGTTTTGTTGCGTCTGTTAGCATTTTATGTTCATGATGTAAAGGCTAATATCGCATTGCTACTTAGTTATCAGAAGTTTGCTGCTCAGATTGTGCCTGTCTATTGACTACTAGCTGTTTGGTCCAAGCCATTTTGTGCCTTGTTAACCTTAACTGTTGTTTCTATCCGCTTGTACTTAATGAATTCTGTGCTCAAGCACGTTCGAGACTCTTAGCAGACGCCAAATAAAGTGCCCTGGAGAATCTGTATAGCTTGTTTCCCGCCTGCTCCGCGCAGCGCTGCTCACCTACGTGACGGTGCCTGTGCCTTCTTCCTCTGCTCCATGCCCATGTGCTCCGCCCACCTCTGCTCTGCTGCGGGATGGCGTGATGGTGGGCGTGCCTTCTTCCTCTGCTCCCTGCCTGTCTGCTCCGGCTGCAGCTCCGGCCAGCGCTTCTCCCCCGCGGCGGATTGCTAGGCTGCAGCCACAGCCAACTGGACGATTGGAGCGCTAGCGGTGCCTCGGCGCCTCCACGACACAGGGCCCCACGGGAACAAAGGCGCAGGTGGGGATGAAAACGGTAACCAGTACCGAACCCATTGTTTTCTACATTTAATCCAATCGAATTTGTATTTTTGAACAAATTTGAATTTAGTTTGAAATTCTAAACGCCAAATTCGAAATCGGAATAAAAACGGTTTAGACATTTTTCCGACCGTTTTCTACCTTCTACTTTTAATTGGGTATATCTTGATTTTGAAATTCGGTTTCGAAATTTGGTTTAAATTAAATTTGGCCCACTAGAAGTCTAACCATAGAAAAATTGTATCTTTTTTATATGATCTCGGATAAAGATGATTTTTATATGAAAATTGTAGCTCTCAACGAGATCTACAACTTTCTTGTTTTTAGTTTTTTTATTTGAGGTCTTTAAGATATTGAAAAAAAACAACAAAGTTTCAGCGGTATATTAATCGCGTATAAGCGCTTGTTGCCTTAGAAAAATCATATCTTCCTTACATGATGTCGAATGGTGATACTTTTTAAGAAAGTTATAGGGAATTTGAAAGGTCCTAATATGGCTAGAGGGAGGTTGAATAGCCTATTTAAAAAACTACAAATCAACTAAAGCAATTTGATTAGGAAGACAAATAGCGAAATACAAACTTGCTCTAGCTCTACAAGGGTTGCAAGCCACCTGTCCAATAATTCTAGTTGCAATGATCAATTGGCACACAATCTACTTGACTACTACTCACTAAGAGCTCTCACAAATGCTACACTAAAGAACTCCACTAGATATGATTAAAGCACGAGGCAAGCTCTCAATTCTATTTACACTAAAGAGCTTGCTATATCTAGTTTGCGGAAATGTAAATGAGTAAGTGATACGATTATACCGCCGGGTCGTGTAGTGAACCAATCACAAGATAAAGATTGAGCCAATCACCGGGAGAATGCAAATGACAAGAGACAACCGATTTTTCTCCCGAGGTTCACGTGCTTGCCAACACGCTAATCCCCGTTGTGTCGACCAACACTTGGTGGTTCGACGGCTAAGAGGTGTTTCACAAACCTCGTCCACACGATAGGACACCGCAAGAACCGACCCACAAGTGAGGTAACTCAATGACACGAGCAATTTACTAGAGTTACTTTTTTGGCACTCCGCGGGAAGGTACAACTCCCTCACAATCACCGAAGGCGGCCACGAACAATCACCAACTCGTGCCGATCCTTCACCGCTGCTTCAACTGGTCAGGTGGTGGCAACCACCAAGAGAAACAAGCGAAATCCGCAACAGCAACACGAATACTAAATGCCTCTAGATGCAATCACTCAAGCAATGCACTTGGATTATCTCTCAATCTCACAATGATGATGGATCAATGATGGAGATGAGTGGGAGGGCTTTGGCTAAGCTCACAAGGTTGCTATGTCAATGAAAATGTGCAAGAGACTTTTCTTGAGCCGGCCATGGGGCTATAAATAGAGCCCCAATCAAATAGAGCCGTTATACCCCTTTCTTTGGGCAAAGCGCGCTCGACCGGACGCTTCCGGTCATATCGACGGACCCGTCGCGTCCGACTGGCCTCGCCGTCGGTCATCGATGGACGCCACGCGTCACCAGCTTCAAACGATGTTCGCCGATTTCGCCACGGTCTGAAGCCGACCGGACGCTCCAGCAAAACCGACCGGACGCTGAAGCCCCGGCCGTCCGGTCGTTTCAAAGAAGCTCCCGAGGCGTATTTCTTCGACCGACGCGTCCCGTCCACTTTGACCGGACACAGACCAGTCGTCGGTGCTCAACCTAAGCCATCAGGTTGTCGACAAAGACGACCGGACGCAGCCTTTTTCAGCGTCCGGTCATTGAGTGATTCCAAGCGTCCGGTCAAGAGAGACCGACGCCAAAGACATTATTTCGACCAACTCCATTTCAACTCTAACTTTTTCACCCTTGCTCAAATGTGCCAACCACCAAGAATTTTCATCCGGCGCAATAGAAAATAGGCATTCCATTTTCCGAAAGCGCCGAATCCATCTCAACACTGCAAACACCACCTCCTTTGTAAATGTGCCAACACCACCAAGTGTATCACCTTGTGTACAAGTGTTAGCATATTTTCACAAACATTTTTAAAGGTGTTAGCACTCCACTAGATCCTAAATGCATATGCAATGAGTTAGAGCATCTAGTGGCACTTTGATAACCGCACTCCGATACGAGTTTTACCCCTCTTAATAGTACAGCTATCAATCCTAAATGTGATCACACTCTCTAAGTGTCTTGATCACCAAAACAAAATAGCTCCTATGGTTTATACCTTTGCTTTGAGCTTTTTGTTTTTCTCTTTCTTCTTTCCAAGTCCAAGCACTTGATCATTATCATGGTATCATCATCATCATGCTATGATCTTCATTTGCTTCATCACTTGGAGTGTGCTACCTATCTCATGATTACTTGATAAACTAGGTTAGCACTTAGGGTTTCATCAATTCACCAAAACCAAGCTAGAGCTTTTAATCTCCCCCTTTTTGGTAATTGATGACAACCCTTTCACAAGGATATGAATTAAAGTTCATTTGATTCCATGTTGCTTGCCCAAGCATATTTACCATGTGTAAAGGATATGGACAAGTTTCATGAATTCTAAATGGTAGCAATTGCTCCCCCTACATATGTGCTAAGAGTTTGGATTGAAGCTTGCACATATGCTTAGATAAGAAATATAGGAGTCAATTTATACCAAATGATGCTAAGGTATAAGAGATGGACCTTTGAAGCGTGATACCAATGGAAGAGCACCATTATACCATCCTTAGCACCATTAGTAACTAGACATACATAAGAACTAGAATACCCCATGAGATCAACATTATAAATAAGGGTCTAGTTTTCATATCAAGAATCATGAGTCTAGTATTTCATTTCATCATTCAAGTCTATGACTAGCATACATCACACAAGCATGGATATTTAAATTTAAAACTTTGTACCATGCAAGCAAATATATGAAATGCACATTCAAATGCACCATACAAGTTCATGAGCTTGCTCCCCCTATTTGTATGCTCAAAAATTTTAATTGATCCCCTTCCTTTGTCATATATTTTATCTCCCTACTATTTCTCCCCTATTACTCATATCTTTGTATTTCTCCCCCTTTGTCAACAATTAGCACAAAAGGTGAGCTCAAATTATCGATAGGTTGGGGTGAAACTATATGAAATGAGGATCATTTTCCCAATTTGGTTCAATCTAGATTACTTACAAAAGATATTTAACTCGGTTTGATCCAAGGACAAGCTTCTTCACACCTCCAAATAAGGGTTATCTTGTACCATGTTGAGTTAAACACTTATAGCTCATTTTCTAAATCAAACACTAGGTTTACAAGCTCACAAACATGTCATATGCTACCATTAGATCATTTCAACCATACAAGCAATAGTGGTACCATACAAGCATCAAATTCATTTAATTTGAATGAATGAGCCTATGACATGATAGAAATGACTAGATGCACTAAACAAGTCCTTAGCAATGGATGGATGACATGTCAATCAACTTTTACCTTGCTTTGCTCGAAGGAGAGGCATGTCATATAGTGGGGGGGTGCGTCAACACATATTGGAGAAGTCAAGTATGTTCAATTCATTCCTTAGCTTGCAAAACCTCTTCTCATCAAGTGGCTTGGTGAATATGTCGGCAAGTTGATCTTCGGTGCCCACATTCTCTATGCAAATGTCTCCTTTTTGTTGGTGATCTCTTATGAAGTGATGACGGACATCTATATGCTTTGTTCTTGAGTGTTGAACCGGGTTGTTGGTGAGCTTGACGGCACTTTCATTGTCACATAGCAATGGCACTTGCTTGAACTTGATTCCAAAGTCACTCAAGGTAGTCTTCATCCAAAGTAATTGAGCACAACAACTACCGGCCGAAATGTACTCCACTTCGGCGGTTGAAAGTGCTACACTATTTTGCTTCTTGGATGACCAAGACACAAGTGATCTTCCCAATAGTTGACATGTGCCCGATGTGCCTTTTTCTCTCAACTTTGCATCCCGCATAATCGGAGTCCGAATATCCAATCAATTCAAATCTTGCTCCTTTGGTATACCATAATCCAACATGTTGTGTATGCTTCAAGTACCTCAATATTCTCTTAGTAGCCTTCAAATGACTTTCTCTTGGTGAGGCTTAAAATCTAGCACACATGCATACACTAAACATCACATCCGGTCTTCTTATAAAATATTCTGTCAATGGTGGCATGAGCGTACCCCTGTGGAATTGGGCGGCCATTAATGGCCCTGTCTCCCGCAGG